TACAAATTTTCAGAAAAATCATAAATGGAACTGTTTTATTTGCTACTAGTCTTCCAAAAAGCATTTATTTTCCCTTCTGGAGGCTGAATAATTATTCAACTATTCATACCTGAGAATTAATTTTCATGAGTTTTCATGTGACATCGCTAAAGAATATGGTGCAGGTGCTGTTTATTAACATCATTAAAGAAAAATTCTGTAGCCCTGTAGTTTCTGCCATTTAAGTTGCAGCTACAAGTCTTTCATGAGTAGTTCTGATTATTATTACAGTCTACCGTCCACCATATGTGAGCAAGGTAGTAAGGTAAGATATAGGCGAAGGTGAAAACTTGATGTTTATAGACGTTTGAAAACAATTTGTTCTGCATTGCTTTCAGATATGTTTACACTGTAATTGTTGTCTAATTGTGGTTGTACAGGTTGTATGTTGATTATCTGTCAGTATAATTGATAGGTCTTCTTTTAGCATAGGTTAAATTAGCACTTTTAGAAACTACCTTCTATTAAGGTGTTTTTCTGACACATTTATGTTACAGCCTTATAAAAATAGAACAGATTTGTATTGTAAAGATTAATTTATTTGTGAAAAAGAATACTAATCAACTAACTTTGCTTCTTAGAGTAAAAGGGTTATAATGTGGTTATTTTATAGATTGCTTTATTGAATGTTGCTGGCTCTCTAGAGGCTTAGAACCCACTATGCTCTTTGACTCTTGCAAGTTCTCTATTCAGTGCTGCTTGTATTTATTTATTTTTTTAATATGTATTTACTGTTGAGTTGAATAAATACTAGACTTTTAGAAGAATTACCAAGAAATCAAGTTTAGTCAAAAGTTATAATTAACCAAGTGATATTCTCAGAAGTTTTTGTAGTTTAGTCATTTTTTTTTTTTTGGCTTGATAGGATGTTGTTTGTTTCTCCAAGGGGGCTCCAGGATGTATGTAGATAATTAAAATTCTTAGTGTTCATATAGCCATTCTAAAATCTTCAAACTGTTTTCTGAATAGATTTTAAAACTTCATAAAATATATAGAGGTATTGATAAATTTGTTACATCTGAGCATGATTTTTTTATTTTTAATAGGATACAACATCTATTGAAAAGATGTCAAACTGTTGTGAAGAAATGTAAGTATAAAAATGAAGTATATCTTATTTTAAAATGGAAACAACTAGCCAGAATTAAGAGTTGTGTGCATTTGTATGGTAGAAGCTGATGTAATGATGGCTTTTGCTCGGTGCCTCTCTGAGGCCGAGCTAGACAGGCATATCCCAGTCTTGCAGACAGGGTCTTTCAGCCATGATTTTAAACAAAATAAGTACTGATCACTCTTATTTCCTGTCTGACTGAAGTAAGTTAAATTATTTGTCCTCAGAGTACATCAAAAGAGATTTGCTGCTGTGTTGTTGACACACATTCTGTTAATCTGAGATTCTCCTCTGCTTCCAAAGTTGCCCTAGGTTGATTGACGACGCAGATACAATATCTGCTATCCAGAGTTAAAACTCAGCTGCATGCCAAAATGAAAGGAAAGCTGTATTTGTGATGCTGGGACACAATTCATCAGAGTTCAGTAATGGATCCCCAGCCAACCTGTATTGTTTTAGCTGACTGAAGTGCACCATGGGAGTGCTGTCTTTCACTAATAATGCTGTCTTCTGTAGATCGAGGCCCCGAAAGCCATGGCAGCAGACCTTCTCAGAAGTTTTTGGCACTCGTTGGAAGATCCTGTGGTTCATTCCTTTCAGGCAGAGGCAACCACTGCGAGTTCCCTACCACTTTGCCAATCACGTCTAAACAGATGGATGGTGGGCACAGATGGGTCCTCCATGCTGGAAATGCGTTACAGGTTTTATGATAATAGAACTATGACAGTCTTCAAGTCAATTAAAATCCACCCACCAATCTTAGGCATCATAATGTGCCCCAGGCTTTATTTTAATAGTGATCTTGATCCTGTTGTGGGACTAATACAAGATCTATATTTAAGTTTTAAAAGCATGTTTACTTTCAAATTAGCTTTCCACCAGGATTTCTTTAAATGTTTTTGTTACTAATCTCAAAAGGCAGTGATTGGGATGAAATAATTGTACATAAATCTCTTTTAGTACTCACAGTGTTACACATTTTAATTTATGGGAAATTTGAGATGTTTATTTAAAATGTTTACCTTTAAGCAGTACTAACCAAATTTGAATTTAATTCTTCAGGTTTACAAAACTTCTTATGTGTAAATTTTCTTTTTCAAATACAAATTAGAATGCTTACTACTTCCTCTTATATGTGTTACAGATTTTAAAATGTAGCCCAGGAATGAACTGCAAAGGGCAGTGTTTTCCTAGGAGTCGCTTTCTCTTTATTGAAACCAAAATAGAAATATCACTAATGTAAAGCACTAACTACCTACCTTATTATAAAGGAAAAGTTGATTCTGCCCACATTTTCTGTTGAAATTATGTATTGCTATCAGAATATTTGCTTTCAGGAGAAATTTATGACCAGTTGGGCACGCATTCCTATTTTACCCTAAGATTCCAATGAACGCAAAGGGTAGAAAATCTGCAATAATTCCACAGTTACTTCTCCAAGTGCAGTTATATTAGAATGCAGATGTTTTTAAAATGCTAGAGTAACTGGACCATATGTAATATACAGTCTAAAGAGGAGTAATGTGCTTTTAAAGTATGTGTACTCCTTTAATTTATCTGCTACTAGGGCAGAAGTACACGTTGAAAGTTTCTAGGTAATAGATATTGGCCAGCTTATATCCGTTTATTTATAGGAAGTTACTAGTAAAAATAAGTCATTGGCTTTAGATACCAGTGATCACTCAAGTTGAAATTTCCACTGGCCAGTTATAACTTGCATTGCAATAGAGACCTTTTATTACTAGTTGATGTTAGGAAATTACATTAAAATATAATTATGATCCGTAGTACTGATGGTCTCTTGGAAAGTGTAGAATATTTGTATGAAAAGACATTCAGTATGCTCTAATTTTCTTCCATTAGAATACTGCAAATCCATATGTTTGAGAGTGTGTGCTCAGCAGGCTTCCCTGAAAGGAAGATGGAGCAAGTCTACCATTCTTGCACCATAGTCATGCTTTTACGGTTAGTTGTCAGAGTAGGGGCTCATACCTGGGAAGTGATAAAGCAGATTACCGTTGCCAGCTATATGGCTAGTTCTTTTAGAAACTGTAAATGACTTACAAAGTCTTCTGAAATAATAGAATAAGTTCTTCTCAGAAATATTAATGCCATATTTTCATGCTCTAATTATGTTTATTAAGAACTTAGAGGTGGCAGATGAAAGTATTTATTGGTGCTAAGACACATAGTAAATTTAATATAAGAAATATTTATAAAGGTTAGGAAACATAAAATTATTGTTTATTTTAGGCATAGGGGTTAGATTTTGTGCAAGCTAATTGACCAAATTGGCTGACGACTGAGTCATTAAAAGGAAGTGATGTATATATGATGTAGGGAGATACAAGTTGAATGCCTTAGGTTGTATATATTCCTCTCGAGCATATAGCAGAGCCAAATGCAGGCCTGGTACAAGCCTTATGGACTTCTGTACATCTGGAGTAGCAGTAGCTGTACTGAAAGCTCAGGGGAAGGTTCTTTCCCAACCTGGGGTTTTTGGGGCTGGTTTTCTTGACTTACTGCTGCCAGGGCACAACCTCTTCCCTTTCTTACCCTCCCAGGTCCTCATCCCTCTGTGCAGTTCCTTCAAGTTACTAGACTACAAACTAATGCACTCAAGTATACACTGATTTTGTTGGAGCTGCAGAAATGCTAATATCAGTATATTTACATAATATATATTGAAGTATATGTATATATACTTATGCAATATTCCTAAATTTGTATGTCTAACCCCGCCGTGGGGTTTGTAATTGCTATTAGACTACTAGTGAGAAGCCCACTGACAGTTTCCTAGGGAGTACGCTCTGGTGTTCTTTCTGCGCCCTCTGTTGGCTAATCAGAGTAATTAGACTGACTGTGTAGAGGCTTTTATTATCCCATCAGTCACCAAAATGGGATACACCAAATGTATCACCAAAGTTTGAGCATGCCAGGGTTACACACTTAGGAGAACATATGTGCAGATGTGTAAATGAAAATTAAAGATGGGTGTGTTAGCTGTTTATAATTGCTTTCTAGTTCTCTGTCAACAACCAATTTAGATCAAGAGAAGCTATTTTATGTAGTTTACCTTAAGCCTTATTTTGGCAACTTATTTGTTACCATTATTCCATTATTAAAAACTTACTTTACTATTATATTACAGAACACAAACATTTGTTATAATTGCCACAGTAACCAAGTATCCAGTGTGTTTTACTGGAATTCTAAAACATCCATTTAGTTTGTTCACTCTCAGTTTTGTAATGATTTTTATCCCCCACTGGGCTCTGTTGCCTTAAAAACAAGAATCGATTAGTGGTACTAATTTTTTTCCTGTTTTCTTGACTGCTTTTATTTAAAAACAACAACAACAACAAAAAACCTTACCTAGTCAGAGTTAAATTTCTACCTTTAGTAGCCAGTTTATTAGTTATTCTGAAAAACCATGACAATAACTGTAGGTGTTGAGCATTAGAAAGTAACTGTTGGCAGTGACATTACTGGTTCTGTGTGTTGCATTAAAGTATTTCTTATAAACTTTGCATTCAGTTTTAGCAAAATGTGTGTTAAATGGTGTTTTTACATAAGCAAAGTCATTTCTTGAGCTTCTGGAGGTGAAGTATTACCTGGCTGCAGTTAGACCTGGTAAACAGTGGAGCTGGCCTGTAAGATGACTCAGTGGATAAAAGTATTTGCTGTGCAAGCCTCGCAACCTGAGTTTGATTCCTGGAATCTACACAAAGGTAGAAGGGAAGAATCAACTCCACAGAGTTGTCCTCTGACCTCACATGTGCATGGCATGCATGTCCCCTCCTCATCAAGCATTCATTCACTCACACAGACACACATTTTAATACATTTTATTATTTTTATTTTATGTGTAAGAGTGTACTGCCTGCATATATGTAAGTTGTACTTTGTGTCCTGCAATGCATGCAGAGGTCAGAAGAGGGTGTTGAATCCCCTGGAACTGGAGTTACGGACAGTTGTTAGCTGCCATGTGGGTGCTGGGAACTGAACCTGAGTCCTCTGCAAAAGCAGCAGTGCTCTTAAGTGCTGAGCCATCTCTCCAGGCCTATTCACAATTTTTGAAAAAAGCAGAATTGTTTTCTGCAAATGAAAGTGTTCATGGGCTTAATGTAGGCTCAAGATTGTAGCCAAAGCTGGACTGAGTTCAGAGTGTCCAAACATTTAGCCTTCTATTTAAGAGTCTTGGTACTTTGTAACCAGGCTTAAAGTTGTAAATTACTAAGCTAGATGATGTTACATTACAACAAGCTGTTATTTTGCTTAAGATTTGCATTAAAAAACATTTGTGGTTAACATAAAAGATAGCTATTTAAAATTGTAACTAACCTAACATTTTTCAGAAAATAGTTTACCTTCAGTAGCAATGAAGTTAGGGACTGGGGGTGTACCTCAGTGAGGGAGTGCATCTAGGGAACATAAGATTCCATGACAACTGAGTTAAAACTTCTCTCAGAATTAACAATGTGTAGGGGCATTTTCATGAAGGACAGTGGCTTATTCTAACTATTCTCAACCAGACTTTCAGGTCAGTTCTACAAGTAACTGTCTCTTTTGCTCAAAAAGATATAGTAATTCTAAATATTAATCATGAAGACTCAAGAAGCACTTCCAGCGGGAATACAAACACTTTTAGATTACAGACAGCTTTCTGAGTTAGATCACGGGTAGCTTGAGTGCTCCTTAGAGGTATTACTATAAAGTCACAGCGTGCTTAGCACTGGCTTCATATGACACTGCTGTTCATTAAGCTGATTTCTGTCTGGACTGTCTCTGCTCTCTGGCTACCTCATATATCAACTACAGCTATATTTACTTCATTACATATATTTTGACCTTTAATATATATAGATATATCAGGAATTTATTACAAACATTAGGTAGCTTACTAATAGTTACCAGTGTTAGATTTTCATCCAACTCTACTATGGCTTTGAAAAGTACAGGGACTGGCAAATGCAGTTAGTAAGTCATACATACGTAGTGTGCTCTTGCTTGCATTGCTGGCTGTGGTTAGCTGAGGAGTGAGTATGCTATTCAGCACCCGTATGTCACCAGCATACCGTCTGTTGTAGGTATCAGGCTCTGAATTTAGCTATACATCAAAAATCTTAGTGGGTTCTATATATAGCCATTCTCAAATTCCAGAATACTCTCCAGTAGAATGTGAGAAAGTATTAGAAGCTGTTCACTTAAGTGTTCTATACAAGTATTGTTATTCATAAAATAACTAATATTTAGCATTTCTGCTACCTTTGGGAGAATGACGGTTACCTGCAGGAAACCATTTTGTTATAACAATAACATTTTTATCAGTTCTTTAGATTTCACACGTTGCCTACTAGTGCTAATTTGAAACAAACAATGAATTTTTTCTTTTTTCGGAAAAGTGGTTTCACTGGATTTGTACTTAGAGTCCTCCTGCCTTGGCCTCCCAAGTTCTGGGATAACAGATGTGTGCTACCATGCTTGGCTCAATATTTAAAATTCTGACATCACTGGTATTACCGATGGTTTTCATTATCATCGTATTTTTGCTATAGTATGGTCTTTCCCCTTCTCCCCCTCCCCCTGCCCAGAGGACAGGCACTAAGTAGTAGTGAGTAGCCAAAAATTGGTTGAAGAGAGTAGAAGGTTAGTAAGATGCAGAGAAGGCTAGGTGGGTGTGAGTAGTTAGCATCTCAGCAGCAGAGTTGACTGGAGACAGGACTGTGAAGTCAGAGACTCTCCTTGCCATGTCCCCACCCCAGCTGAAACCATTTCACTGTAAGAGTTGTTCATTCATGGACGCATTCATTTTGAGTGATTTAATATCAGCCGATACTGCGCTTTCCCTTCAGTTGGACAGATGTTCTTGAGAAATTATTTTTTAATTCCAGATAAGTAATTGTGTGGTGCATGTTAGCATACAGCATTTTTAGCATGCATGTGTCTTTTAAAATGTGGGAATGCAGCTATTTAATACAGAGGAGAAATGATAGTTTGCCCAAAGTTTGAGGAAGCTGGAACCTATTTAGGGGTCTCTTGTGACAAAGAAAGAATACTGAGTCACTAGAGAAAAATCAACAATTAGGACATAAAGGGTGGCTTACACTTAACGCTCGTTGTCTTGGGGGTTCTTGTTACCTTGAAGGTCTCCATTGCTACTGGCATTCCTGTGTATGGGCAGTGCTCTCCACGTTTGCTCATGTAGAGCCTTTTCATATCAACAGCTTTATACTAAGAGATAGACAAAAACAGCAGCTTCTTTTTTGTGGCTTTGCCTCCTGTTTGACTTAATACAGGGTCTAATTGTTTGTAGGCTGTCAACTAAAAGAAAGACTTGCCTGCATATTGCAAGCTCTGCCAGTGTGCATGGGTAATTACTTTAATCTACTGGTGCCTAAAAGTAGTGGTTTTGTTTTGTTTTGTTTTGTTTTTAAAAAAGTACTGTTTTACAATCTCAGCAACTAGAGCATTCTGGTGCTATTCACTTTGCATTGAGTTACATTTTAATTCTTGAATCAAACAGTTAATTTTCTTTTTGGTTGACTGAAAGGTAGCTTCTCACATCTTTAAGTAAACAATTGCATTAGCAGATTTTACTTTTTGTAACTTGGCTCAATATAATCAATTTTAAATATTGCTTATTAGGACTTATTTTTTATTTTGTTAGGCAGATTAGTATGGATTTTAATTTTATATTTTAATATGGTATGGCTACTTTAAAGGATATTTTAATAGGCTGAAGTTATTAAAAATCAATGAAGCACTTCTCACAAGATTTTTTAAAATTTCACTTCAGCAAATAAAAATTACTTTTATTTCTATAAGTGAACTATATTTTACTGGATACTCAGATGAATACTCAATCAAATGCTAAAAGAAAGGGAAAATACTAGGTCCATTTTAATTATAAATCAAGAGTTTATCATCTCTTTGCATACAATCCTCATGGCTTTAAAGAATGATGCAGGTATTGTCTAATTTGAAAATTAAGATGAAATGAAAGAACACTAAAAACATAAATTGAATACATACTTTCTCAATAGGAAATGCAAAGGTACCTTGATTAAGCAAAACTGCTAATAGATAGTTGAACTTTAGAAAAGAAGTCTGGAACTGCTACTTGAAATATGAAAATTCAGAGTAAGATTATTTTGAAAACAAATTTTGCTTAGTGATTCATTTACATAACTGGAGGAAAACACCCTGTAAATGTACTTGTCCACTTTTAATACGGTTATTGTATGAATTGGTTTCTGTTCTTCCCCTGAAACTCTAAATACACCCATTTAGTGTCTGTGTGTAAAATTGCAGCTGCAATGGATAATCATCCTGGAAGGAATTACTAGTGTATATGTATGGGAAAAGTAGACAGTCACATTTGAAAGTGTTTGCATTATTTTTGACAGCAGAAATCAGTGTCTCCTTAAATGCTGATACAGTATATTGTTTTACAGTGAATTCTGGATGGAAACAAAAAAGAATCAAAACTTGAACTGCGGCTTCTGCTTTTGTGCATACTGTAGGCCTCACAAGAGAGGTGGAGCAGATGGGGTGGAGCAGCACTGTCCTGGCTTGCCAGCAGGGTTTCTGAGGCTATGTATTGGGCCTTAATAATTTCACTGCTTGTCTCCTGTTAGGTGAGTGTGGCCGAGTATAGTTATTTTTCCAAGTTGTGGATAGTAGAAAATTTACCACAGCTTGCTTTCCCCCAGCCAGACTATTAAAAAGCAGATGAAATTAATATAGGTAGAAAAAGCATCTAACAATACAATAGGAAGAAATCCTGCCACAGTCTAAGGTTACAAGTCTGAGGACAGAAGTAGGCTCTTGGGAGAGCAGAGCTTGCATGGACCATGCTGAGTGAGCATGCTCTGTCCTGGAAATAGTATGAATAATGAATAAAGCAACCTAATAAATAAAGCCTGTGTGCCTGTGCCATTTTTAGGCTCTTAAAATTTGCTGTCAACCCAAAGTTCTACAAGACTCTTCCAGCATTCCAACAAGGGTGTGCACCA